CATCTCAAAACTAAAACAAGCCTTCATCAACAACACCTACAGTGTAAATCCTCATGCCTGCGGCTCACCTGCAAAAGAGTTATGTCAATAACCACATAATACATAGTTTGATGTAGCATATCAACATATTAATATCACACTTTTCACATTTACCCAAATCGGCTGAATGCTGGGTAGAAAACAAGATGGAAGTCATCAGGCTTGAATTCAGCTTCATTGCTGTATCATAAATCAATAGATGAAATAGAAAAAAGTGCATTAAAAATTTATTAGAAAAATATGAAAGTTATGTTGTACTGATAACTGAACATAATTTTTCATACATGCTTTGAATCCTTTTTTACAAATATGTAATAAAATTAGTTCCATCATCATCATGCACAACACATACTCATCACAGTCAGACATGTTACTATTTTACAGATGCTCATAAAATGGAAAAATCTTAATATATTCCTTTCTAACATAGAACAGAACATAAGCGGGGTAATACAACAGAATTTTTGTTGCACTCATCACTGTCTCATATTGTTTTATAGGTGCTCTAGGAACGAAGAACTCTTAGTGTAATAAGACTGCATTCACACAGTCTCACACTGAGTCACACATACATACAGACTCAGCACTCTTTTGCAAAGCTATACGGAATTCTCAAGCATCTCTAGCACAAGCCGCATCCCATTCTCGTTCCAATGTACGCCATCATCCAGCAAGAACAGGTCCCATTCGAACTTCTTTGCAGCAAAATTGTTGAACATCTTGCCAGTGTTGACAACAGTGATTCTTGTTTTTGACATTATTGCTATACATACATATACAAAATCAACATATGAACAACAAATGATATATATATATATGTTTGGTTAAAAATAATGCCAGTTTTATTGAGGACTTCTTTTGAGTTTAATCTCTAAAGCTTTCTGATAACAATATAAAGACAGCACCAGCAAGNCTCTCACATACATACAGACTCAGCACTCTTTTGCGAAGCTACACGGAATTCTCAAGCATCTCTAGCACAAGCCGCATACCATTCTCATTCCAATGTACGCCATCATCCAGCAAGAACAGGTCCCATTCGAACTTCCTTGCAGCAAAATTTTAGAACATCTTGCCGGTGTTGACAACAGTGATTCTTGAATTATCCGCTGAAACAAAAAGAAAACATGCATGTTTTTTTTTACATTTTTACTATACGTACACCGATACAAGCCCAATTTGGGTATCGGTGGAAGTGTCAAGACTATGATGCGCTGGGCACCTGAATCTTGCAGGGCTGATATCACTTCCAGCATAGAATTCTTCAGTTGGTCAATGTCAATTTCTGCATATTTCTGTAATTTAAAAATTAAGGTTATTAATTAAAAATATTTCTTCAATTATTTGGCACTTGGCCTTGGCAGTCAAATTTGAAGCACTCAAAACATTATTATTAATGAAACATGCTACACATTAACTTACAACAAGAAGGTCATTGGTTCCAATTTGCAGGATAACATCCTGGTTCACTGAGGTTCCACAAAGGTTTTTTCATAGTTCATCCATGGTTTGCCCACCAATGCACGGGCCCACATCATTTTTTCTTCCATCTGTTGACAAATTTGGAATATTAGTTGATAAACTGACATATATGGTTTCATGTACAAGCTTAAGATCATTAAGATCAACCCCCGTGGGCCGTGGGGTTGGGCTGGGGAGTATCTGCAACTGCGAGTCTGCAATGCTGGTCACCAGCACTCGGGCAGTGACTTGGCAGCCATTTAAAATTTAAATAGTAACAAAAAAATTATTTATAAACTATGCACTATCAATAATTCAAAATACTTCTTTAGGATTGTTCTTATTAAATGCAAATTGTTTTGCAAGTAATCTTTAATTCCATTTGGAAATGGGTCATGGCACGATGGCAGCATGGGCTGCATGGCTGAAACTCAGTCTAACTCAAAGTCTCAAAGAAATATATATCTAAATATAAATACACAATTGATTATCTTACTAACTTAGTAAGACAGATTTAGTGACGACAGACTCCACAGTGCAAAGCCCACGCAGAATAATTGCCACAAATCCTTAGACAACAATGACTATGACCTCAATCATCATTGACAATGATTGATATATAGAGATTTAAAGAATTAATGTCATTTATGTGCCTTAATCGCAAGTTGACTAAAAATTGAAAAGCAAAGAATAGTCCACAAAAATTCATATCTTTATAGAAAACGTTTCGGAGTCCAGCTCCATCGTCAGTTCGTAGAATCTAGAATATACATAGTCACAAGTTAGTACAATTGAAAGCACAGAACACAATTAGAACCTAAATTTACAATTAATAAGGCATAAAAACCTATCTATTCACAATTTCAAGGGGATAGGAGCTCACAGCTGAATTTAAACTGGGCCTAAGCTTAAAAATGTACAATGATTCTAAGATATGCAAATCTGAGGTACCAGAGGTAGAAGCTAACACCCTAAAGTTTGTAAGTGTCGTGATTCCATGTGGGCCAAGATAATTTTCTGGATTTCATTGAAGGATTGCCATCCACTCAATTCATCATACTCCGAACCATCAGTTGCCTCTGGTAAGAACATGCAATCTGTGTCATCACTGTCAATAGTGATGATACTATAGTATCACCACTGTCAGAAAAAGGTTCGTCACATTTTGTTCTCTTAGATCCACCATAAAAACTAGATATTTCCATCATGAAAGGTCTGAAAATACAAGAAAGTGAGTTGTGAAATAAGAAATATTGTGAAATAAATTTATCAACAAATTGTTGCATGACCCGTACAATCAAAAAGGCAATAACGTACAGTAATGAGCAATTCATAAAAGTATTCACCCACTGAACGATTGATGTACGACCAGGAACACGACCAGTGGGCGCGACATTAAACTGCCTCCTAAACGCACGCTGGGTTGCAACGATAGACCAGCCACTAGAAAAGTACACAGAGACTGCGAACGCGCGCTCCTCTCTCGACCACTGCATGGTCGCAACTGAACTGAGTGGACGAAAAACTTCATAGCCCGCGCACCATATTGCGCATGGCGCCACCTTCCTAGGACTAATGGCCGCCACGTGGCGCGCAATTCAAATAAGTAAGTTCCCGCGCCGCACCCTGTAGAAACATACGTTAACCAAAAAGGAATAATTTAGTGGCACCCATCATATATTTAGAGAAATATATCATAGTTTGGGTGAATTACTTCTCATTCTATGTTGCCCAGTGCATAATTCTATCTATGAAATTTTATGCACAATTTTGTTATGACCAATGATGCATTAATTTTTTGTTCAGTAATTTTTTTTACTGAGCAAGGTAAATGTAATCAGAATTATTTTTTGTTGATTGATTCTTTTGTTAACTGGAGCCTTTGCTAACCAAGGTTCTACTGTAAATGCATTTTTAGTGGTGTCCCCTATTGCCCCATTGTGTGTAAATAGCCACCATTTTCTAGGAATGAGCTATGCAAATCTGTCAATCATGATTTTAAGCCAACACCTGTGTGCAACTTTTATGTAAGTGAAATTTTTTAATACAGCAAATAGTTTTTTTGGCTACAAACCTTAGCAGAGGAACTCTTCCATAACTTCACTTTTCACATTTTTTGGGGGGGATTTTAAGAGGCAGTAAATGTATGATTTCTTACCTTTAAACTACATAGATAGGAAAAATGTTGAACTTTATGCCCTATTTTAAGTTTTGCAATATTCCAATTAGTTTAGTTGCTGCAACATTTTTATGAAATGTCAGAAGGCTGTCCTGATTTACATCGCCTGTCCCTTATTGCCCCATTTGATGGTATGTGGGTTGTATTACAGTGACATGATAAATCTCACACTCGGCTGCAAACTGACCCATTTGTGGGTCAAGAATTTTATTGCATTAACATGAAGGGCACATTGAGAAACACACATTCATCTTTCCACTTCAACATCTCAACGTGCACTGATGCTATAACAATCAAAACATGGCCACACCAGCAGGCAGTTGGCATTTTTTGCCCCTGCACTTAACCTGTTAATGCAGGTTTAAAGTTATTAATGAATTGAAATTGTCCATCCATACCCTGATTTTCTAGTTACCAGTGCAAATGAAAAATATCGTTCAATATATTTCTAGGTGTATGGTAAAATATTTTTAGCAATATTTTGGTCCAAAAATATGGCTTTGATGTCTATGCTGTGGTGTGGAATTTTGTGTCTATTTCAAGATTCAAGTTAATATTTCTATTATATGTGCTACATTCAAACATAGCCAAGTTGTCTGCATTATATATTGGTGATGCATGCATAAAGCAATCAATTATGTCCTTAAGTAACTTGGGACAAATTATTTTTTTTGCAGATGTTATAATTAGAGTCTACATTTTAGCCTTGATTGCACTTTGTAATTTCCTGTATCCTCCCAGTGTTGTAATACTATTGATGCCAAAAATACAGATTAAACACTCTGACCTCAGTGATTTATAACTAGCAACACATTTGGTGATGGCGTCCATCACCAAAGAAGGCAGTGTGCTGCACCAACTCTCCGATGCTACAGTCAGTAGTGGCAGATGCTCTGAGCAGAGCCTTATTCAAGCCTCTCCTGGTGGCAGCAAAGTAAAGTCTGAAGGTAAGCCAGATTCCTTGTACCTCACTGATCAATCATTATTATGTAGAGGATTAACATTTTATTAACAACAGTTACAACAACAGTTAGGATTAACAACAGTTACATTTTATGTTATTTGATTGTTTACTGTATTCGTTATAAATTTCAATGCAAGATCTAATGACATTGTGTTAAAATATGCCATCTCATGAGTTTCACTCGTCCGAGTGATACCTATTAGCTTTGTCTAAAGCTCACATCACTCATTAATTTAGTGCTAATGCACATATTTTCCAGCCTTGGAAAAGGTTGATCTTCTGCCAGTCATTGCAGTTTCTACTATCTACATCAAGGAGGAACCTGAGGATGAAACTGAAGAAGTATCCATCAAAGAGGAACCATTCTTATATGGAAATGAAGTAGGTGGAGTTGATATGCAAATAAATGTTTAGAAAAATATTTGAAATTCCAGCATAAACTTCCATGAAAAAAATAAGCACAGTTTTACTTCTGTAAACAAATCTCCAAACTAGGCATCAGGACAAAAATATTAAGTAAATAGTAAGTCTAAAATATTGAGCAGTAATAATTAGGTATGATGCACCCTCATATTCACTCAATAATTGGGTAAAAATGATGACAATTTTATTTATAATTACTTGCATTAGGTTTGCTATTCTAAACCAAAACTCATCAAATTTCTCTCCATAGTTGTCTGTTGAATGATAAAAATGAAGAGTGATACCCTATTGGCAGGAACCATGCTGAACTGTCCAAATTTTTTTTCTATGCAAGCTTCATATCCATAGAATAGAATCTTTCTTCATTGCATAGAATATTCATTCTATGCAAGCTTGCTTGTCCATGAATATATGAGAATAGAGCAGAGAATTGCAAAGAATAGCACGGGAGAACATGTCAATTGATATAAGTTTTTAACTCAAGTGATGCTACATCAGTACAATACCAATAAAGAAGTGCCTAAAACATTTATTAATGCCAATTTTATAAAAAATACTATTTAAATGTGTGCATTTGCCGCTGAAATTGCCTCTTATCTTTATATATCCATTTTAATTTGAAAACTGGCAAGTGGAACACTTGCATTGTATAGCATTGATATTAGAAGACTTTAAATCCAGTAATTTTTGATGTACTGTTGAGAAATTAGGAACTTGCAGAAATTATATAAGAGTCCTATATTATTTCCTTCCTCATAAAATGCATGCGTCACTGCCAGCCACATCAACATTGTCCTCCACTTCTCCCAGAAAGTCACAAGAGTTGCATATTATATCTTTCCTTGTAATGTGCACACATCACTGCCAGCCACATTAACATTGCCCTCCACATCCCCCCAGTCTTGTTCAACTGCACATCTCAGCCCTGCACATGCACTGTCCTCTTGTGTGCTAAGCAAGATGGAGGCTCGAGTTGAGGCGCATGATGCCCACCTAAACTCCTCACGGAACATTTCTGCTCTGTTGTCTAATCAGGTATGCATAGGTAATTTAAGCTTTCTAAATTCACACTGAACAATAAATTTTTTAGAGATGCTCCCACATCTTTTTAAATCACCTTTGTTCCAGATTATTGTTGATAGTATTGTATGAAATGAACGCCTAGCAAGTGCTAGCAGAGATACTAGGTACACCTGCCATTTTTCCTGTGCATATAAACCCAGCTTGTGAAATCTAATATTTCATTTTTGGAAATAGATAGCCATAGATTTGATTTCTCTGAAGTGCGGATCAAGGATTGGATATGCAGTGTGAAGATCTTGTTTGCTGTTTTGTTGTGGCAAATATTGTTGTTATTGTATGCAAGGTAACATTTTTAACCATTTGTAGGTGTCAAGTTTGTGGATGAAGTGATAGGGGTCCCTATTAGACAGGCACCAATTATGGGACTACAGATGGTTCAGTAGGTTTGTAGTAGAGCTGTAGAGGTAGTCTTTGTCAAGTCCATACAATTTTCCTAAGAGGGCTTTTGGTATGTTATGGGGTTCTGAGGCTTGTGCTATGGTAGTTTTTTGTGGGCGGTGAAAGGGAGCATGCATGAAACGTTATGCCAAGAATTCTTAGGTTGTGTTCAACCAGAAGAAGTTGGGTTCTTGATTTTGACTTGAGCCTGGTAGCAGTACTGGGAAGCATTTGGTATTATGAGGGAGGTTGGCAATTTGCTGCCTTTAGTTCCTAGATTTAGGTGATTGAAAAAAAGTGGAGCATCATCGCCATCATCAAACTGTCATTGGCAAAAGTATAGCCCTAATGGAAATCAGTTTTCAAATTTGTAATTAATGTGCCTGAAATAACACAAAATTAATGTATCTAACTCAAAACTTGATCAAGCATTTGCATTGCAGTTTTATCCATATTTGAATTGGTAAAGCATGGACCTGCTCCTTAAGTTGAGACCTGGTAATTGTAGCTCACTTATTTGCTTTGATCACTTATTACCACTAAATAATCCTTGTATGAACCAGAACAATATGAGTGAAAATTCACCAATTTGAGAAATTTCAATCACAATTTTTAATTTCTATTGCAAGATCCGAGGCATTTTACAGAGGATCAATCTTAAAAGTCAGCAGTTTACTGTGGCTGATATTAATATTGGAGATTGTTTTACTTTGTATTTTACCATTAGTTTGGCAAAGATGGGTCAGCACCGGCATCTGGAGACAATGATGGCGATGCTTACGTCTCTGGGGTGTCCAGCTCCATGCCGCAGCATTCTTCAAGAAAAGCTTCTTGGAGTGAACCTGCTGATGAATGCAATGGAATCATGCACAAGCAGTGCCGTTCTAAATGTTCATTGATAAAGAAGTTTTGCTGCTCTGAGTGTGATTATGCTTGCACCATAAGAGGAAACTTGAGAAAACATTTTCTTCAAAAGCATTCAACAGAAAAACCTTTTCAGTGCTCTGAGTGTGGTTATGCATGCTCAGCAAGAGGAGACTTGAATTCTTCGCAAGCATTCAACAGAAAAACCTTTTCAGTGCTCTGAGTGTGATTATACATGCACCATAAAAGGTCTCTTGAAAAGTCATTTTCTTCACAAACATTCAACAGGAAAACCTTTTCAGTGCTCTGAGTGTGATTATACATGCACCATAAAAGGTCTCTTGAAAAGTCATTTTCTTCACAAACATTCAACAGGAAAACCTTTTCAGTGCTCTGAGTGTGATTATACATGCACCACAAATGGTCTCTTGAAAAGTCATTTTCTTTTCAAGCATTCAACAGAAAAAACTTGTCAGTGCTCTGAGTGTGATTATGCTTGCGCCACAAAAGGGGCCTTAAGAAGACATTATCTTTACAAGCATTCAGCAGAAAAAACTTTAAAGTGCTCTGAGTGTGATTATGCTTGCACCACAAAAGGGTCCTTGAAAAGACATTATCTTTACAAGCATTCAACAGAAAAAACTTTTCAGTGCACCGAGTGTGATTATGCTTGCCCCATAAAAGGGGCCTTGAAGGTTCATTTTCTTTTCAAACATTCAACAGAAAAACCTGTACAATGCTCTGAGTGTGATTATGCTTGCATCACAAAAGGGAACTTGAGAAGACATTTCCTACGCAGGCATTCAACAGAAAAAGACCCATCTGTGCTCCAAGTGTGATAATATGTTTGTCGAAAATGCATGTGTCTATACTCATTGATTAAGCTCTACCTGAGGATTGGGTTACGTGACTCAGGTCGCGAAGGATAAGCAAGACACATCATTCAAGATAACATATCTTACATACGGGGTGGTTATACACGAGTTACGATTCAGAGGTAAAAGCTTCTAGACCATAAGGCCGGAAAACTCGCGGAGCGCTCATCAACTACTGCGAGGGGTTTTACTAAGGCTACTAGCTCGTATAAAGCCATCGCTCCCGCCCACAACTAAGGTCTTGATCGCGTGATCTATCACGTGTCTTCCAGATGCTGACTCATGTCATCAATCTCTATCAGGTCAAGTGAATATTACGTCCCAATTACATATAATTATAATGATTATAAAGAGACGCTAGAACTAGATTGAAACCGGACACATGTTCGAACAGCATCTGCTGTCAAGAAGCCATCAGAAACTGCTTCAGTACCCAGGTGTCAGGATGTATGTGACTGTAGGAAGCTTGATACAGTAATCAATTGCAGAACATTTGACCTTATGAGACAACAGGACCAAGCTATGTAGAGTACTTAACCCAAGGCACCCACTGACACCAAGTAAGAAGGACTTAGCTGTCCAATGTCCCTCGAAGGTGGCAGTCGCTTGTTACAGCGTGGATATGAAAGAGAACGGCAAAGCCTCTTGTTGGGGTTTGAATGCTCCTTCATTGTAGCTGGAGGGGCTGGAAGCTGTCAGAGTTGTGAGTGTTAGTCATACTCTCAAGGGTAACTGCATTGCAGTTACCACCAGGTTTACTGCCTGACGGTAACTAACTTTTCCGATGGTTTTCAGACAGCAGAATGCACTCTTGTATTGTTGTACAATAAATTGACTGCACCAGTAGGTCAGTAACCTTGCGAGAATCGTGATAAATTTGATTCATTACATTTTATATCTGTTGTTGGTGTCAAAATTTGTTTTTCGTTCTTCTTCGTAGATTTTGATGAATAAGATTAGTAGATGCTAACATAGGATTAGTAGATAACATGTAGTACAATAACATTAGTAGATAACATAGGTTTTAAGATAACCTGTTAACCTGTTTAAATGAGCGGTTATCTTCTTGTTGCGCTTGCAACCAACATTTTTAGTGATTAAAAGGATTGAAAACGATTGACCTTCCTTGAAGGAAAGAGGCATGGCTAAACTGTTACAAGGCTGACCGGCGCACAGCTTGACTTTGTGTAAATTGTTCATTGTTCCTTCTGTGACACCAATTCGCTTTATAACTAGAGAATTAAATAATTGATGAGTAAATAATTGATGCATAAATGTTTAATCATGGTAATTTATATTAAAATATTTGTGCTGTGTTGTGTGAAGACCCATTTTCATTTTCTCTGCAAGGACGCAGGAGTTTCCTTCTTAAGGTTATTTGCTAAGTCCCAATTCCTGAAGGGCAAGTTGTTGGAGTAAACATATACCATTTTTTTGATATCCAATAGCTATTACTGACTATTCTGAGTTAAGTATAGCAGAGTTACTTGAATATTGCTGTAGTGCACTCTTGGTAGTGACTAATACCCAGATTGGACTGCCATGCCTAACCAAGCCACTAAAAAACCAGGCCCGGACCGATCTACCTTCTTAAACTTCGAGAAAACGTGAAATTTTGCATATAAACTAGAAAAATCTTGTATGAACAGCGCACAAGGGTGCTGGTCGACATTCTATTGAATAATTTGATCTAAAAGTGCACTTCTCTGTAACCCAAATACAGGGGTCTTAGAGCGTTTGACTGGTCTGGGGTCTGCCTGACCTGACATGAAAATTTTCAAGGTAAATTTACATGAATTCAGTAGAAATGTCTTGTGTTTTCTGGGCGTTTCAGATAATTGTCTATTGATAAGTTTGATAAAAATGCACTGTCTTGAAATCCTGCTAATGGGATGAAATTTTTGAAAATTTGTTACTCAAACTTTTAAGTTTTCCTAACATTTCAAATGATTTGCAATCCAATTTTTTCTAGATCCTGGTAGGGAGACTGGTCTGGGTCTGGGTTTTAGTACTTGGTCTGGGTCTACGTTTTAGTCAGTACCTGCACTATTAGGGCTAATCATTTTTCAAATTGATGAGTGATTGTAATGAGTAACTGAAATTTAATAGTCACCTCCCATGCATTGGGTTTTGCCCAATACATTGCAAAAATTTACTTAATTGTCCCTTACTTTAATTAATAAATGAAAATGTAAAAACACAAAAGATTATCCTAAATGGTTGTTTGAATGATTTTAGGGTGGAGGTGACCATCAATCGAACCATTTTTTTGAAACCCCTCTTGCAGCAAACAACCTCAGTCACACTAAGTGGCCAGCCTCATTATAATGTGAGCTTCTGTAACATTTTATGCTCAAACACTGACTTATCCTTTCAAAACCAACCAATTTTAGAAACATCCTTGTATTGCATTTCTTCCATTTTCCCCATAATAGATCATCAAGTAAACTGAGACTGTAGAGCAAATTTGGTTCAAGTCTGTGGTTGCCATGATACTTGCTTGATACCTGCTGCGTGTGCTGAAGCCAACTAAGCCCAGCCATTTATTTGTGTGGGCGTTGTGGGAGACCTGAGCTCCTGTTACCTGCATGGATCTTAGCCATCCCTTGTAGTGTAGAAAAAACTATTCTGGAAATTCTCCAACTATTATTTTTATGTCTCGCAACTGCCAAATGGATCTCCCTAAAAAAAAAAATTCAAAACGAACAAGTGTAACGGGACACAATTTTTGTAGATTATTTTTTTAACATTGTTTGACGTCTGATTTTACTCGAGAGATTAAATTTATGTATGACTAAGAAATGTGTGGGTATATTTTTATTTCGTGACTGTAACAAGGAATCTCTTTTGCTGTGATATTATCAGTAGTGCTCAATGCAACAGTAGTGTTGCATTGCAATCATCTGCTAAGTGCCACTCGTCGTCTGCTAGCCCCGACCGCGTTTAGACTCATTTCTATGATATGTTAATTGTAAATTATTACTTGACCTATGATTTATTTGCTTTAATGTGCAATGATTTTGTCGAACGACTTCGTTTTTATTGCGATAATCGTAGCATTTCGACGCGCATATCGCGTGGAATAACAATCCTATTATTGAACATAAGCATTCCTTCGTTAATAGTCAAATGATTTCTGTGAGGCAAGTATTCCATACAGGCATTTTCAACACCCTCAGGCCAGCCCTGGGAAGTATGCTTAACCACTTTTTGAATTACAAGATCAGACAGCTTAGCGCGCAAGATCCTAGATTTTACTTTCGGATGAATTGGTATATTTTCAACCGAATTTACTTCATGCTTTCGAACCTGACAAGACAACTTGTCGTCCGTAACCTTAGCAGGACATCAGTCTCATAATCTGAAGGTCGTGAGTTCGGTCCTCACCCGGGGCACCATGTATCAGTCTTCGAGTCAGTGAAACACGATCAGGGACACGCACATGTATTTCAGTAAGAGGTTGGCACAAGAAGAGACCGATTGACGCGCCGCGACCTCCTAAGACAACTACGTGTCGCGGTCACGTCAACGCGTAGCAAAGCGTTAGGCTTAAACCTCGGTACACCGCGTTTAGACTCATTTCTATATGTTAATTGTAAATTATTACTTGACCTATGATTTATTTGCTTTAATGTGCAATTATTTTGTCGAACGACTTCGTTTTTATTGCGATAATCGTAATGATTTACCATTGTACGTAAATAAGTGCTGTCAATCTACGATGACATCATTAGGGTGAAGACGGCTACGTCGCCATCTTGCGTGATCTTCTTAGAGGTTGATGTTCTATAAGAAGTCGAATTACTTGTAGTAATGTTGCCAAACTATTGATGAACTGGTATTGACTCACGCTCTTGTGAGGTATTTTTGATAGTAATTCTGTCATAAATAGACTATTGTCCCTTAATATGTGATCGAAGGAGTAGGATATGATCATGCTTGTTGTAATATATTATATTATCTATTTTTTGCACTTACCGTTAACAGCCCGTTTTGTGCTCCTTGTAAACGAGGTTGTTGACATTTTTTTAGCCGAGTTACCCCTTGCGGGCAAGTTGTGTGTGCTCAGTTGTACTAGGTAGGAGTGCAGGCGTTTCGACTCTTATCGAGGGAAAAAGCCAGATCTGGGCTTCCAAAACTCTTCTGTAGCTCTGGACGTATCTCGTAAAGAGATCCACTGGCGGACTAATTACGGTGTAGG